AGGATAGGTTTTAATTTGCTTGAACACATCAGCTCTACAATGAAATCAGAAATCCAAATGACATTAAGAGGCTTAGGTACCTTATTTCTATTTCTTTGGGAAACTTTTTCCTTCTCATAAACCATACCTATTAATTGTTTTCTTTAAAACGGCTTTATAAATAACCAGTTAAATTTCTAAAGATCTAACCATTTTTGCTTTATAAATTAGGCATGTTGGAACTTACCCAGTTGTTCGGTGGTGTGGTTGTGCCATTTTCATGGAGACAGTCATGCCAGATATAATAATCAGTATATTTCCCTGTCCAGTTCCGACTCAATTGAAACCAAGCATGTTTATCACTGGTGTGATTTGGTATGAAATCGATTATTAATTTTAAACCTAATGAGTGAAAACATTTTAAATGTTAGGAAAAAATTATATTAGAATAAAATACATGACGGTTAAAAGGAAAAATGCTTTAAGTAAGTATTTGGATACAGGGAATATAGACAATAATAATGTAACAAGTATGGACAGTGTCAGGTGGGTACTAGACTAATTAGGGGGATTGCTTCATAAATTATATAAAGGTCTAACCACTATGCCGTACACCTAAAACTAATATAAAATTATACTGAATGTCAACTCTAATTGAAAAATAAAAATAAATAAAAGCATATTTTGCGATAAAAATTAAAATTTAAAAAGTATGCAATAAAAATTTTAAAAGAAGTATTTAGAGAAATGTTTTTCTCAGTCCCCACCCCTATGTCTCCCACCTTCCATTCAGTTTACCTTTATCATGTATGGCTGCAATCAGATTCTCAAAATCTTTCATTGTTCCAAAAATGGGATCAATTTCTCGAAAATCTTCAATACCATGTCGGAAATCTTTAAGGGATGATTTATAAAATGAAGTAATCCAAACGGTTTTTATATTTAAAGTTGTAATGTAATCTAGCTTATCTTGAATACCTGAAGAAAAAAATTCAAGGCCATGAAAAATAACTAAGTAAAGTTTGGGTTTTTCGGTTGAAGAATTAAAAATAAAAGGAATATTGCCTAAAATGAAAATATTTATACTGAGACAGAAGTATTTGGAATTTCACTGAATTTGAGTAAAAATTCAAATAGCAAGTCTAGTTCTACAAATATCATCAAATTAGTTTTCTAGCAATAATCTTTGACCTTTAACACAGATGTAATTACCTTTATAAAATTTCTCTGTGTCCTGCTCATTTTTTATATTTAAAACCAAGACTATAGAATTGTTAATTTATTCCACACATAGTTTTTGAGCAGCTACTCTAGGCCAGGTGCTGGGCTAAGTGCCCAGGTACAAAGGATAACACACAGCCCCTTATGGTCACATAGTCTAAACTTCACTGTCTAGTATAATAGGCACTTGCCACATGTGGCTATTGAGCACTTGCAATGTGATTAGTGTGAATTAAGATGTCCTGTAAATGTAAAACACACTGAGTTTTTAAGATGCCAGTGTGCAAAGAATGTAAAATATCTCATTAATATTTTTATTTTGATTATATGTTGATATATTAAACAAAATATATTATTAAAATTAATTTCATCCAATTCTTTTTAATTTTTTTTAATATGGCTCCTAGAAAATTTATGATTACATATGTAATTCTATTTCCTCTGGACAGTGCTGAAGCCAAGAATTTACACAGAAGAGAATTCTAGACTTGGCTGAGAAGAGACACTGGAACAAACCACTTTGTACTTGGAATCTTGTAAGGTAATTAGCAGACAGTGAGGGTTTTTTGCTTCTAGTTCAGAGTTCTGAATGTAGACTCAGGAGTTGTCTAGTATTCACTCTCCAGCAACTTTCTGTGGGACCCTGTAGGCTTCCTACAGTCAGAGTCTGTCAGGGTCACACCGCGCGCGGGCTGGAGGTCATTGAGCCCAAAACACTAAGTCACCTGTCTCCTGGCCTGGGGCTCTTCCTCTCTAACAAGTTGCTCATTTTTGTCCTCTCTGTACCTCAATTCCCCCTTCTGGGTGCCTATGAGACCTCACAGAATGTCAACAGACAGCAAAAGAGAATTTTGATTTAAATCAACATGATGCACAAAGGAACAAGATGGGGCTGGACGGATGCAAAGTAAAAAAAGGATCTCGGGTTCACACTCCAGGGGACAGAAGGCAATCACAAAACCCAAACTGCAACCTGTACTGGTTTCTTCAAATAATAAGAAAATCCCCTCAACCTCAGGGACAAATACTTATTGATCACAAGAAGCAGCCAGTTCCTCAAGAAAAAGTTATTGGAAATGACAAATATAAGAGCTGATTAGATGCTGCCCTGTTTATAAGAATTTGGGGTACACAGGTAGCCCCCACATTTTGAAAGTTCATATTACACCACTTCACTTTTTCAAAAGACCTACATTAATACCTGTTTTTGCTAACAAAAAGAAATTTTAAGAGGATTTTCACTTTTTAAGAAAAACAGCAAAAAGCAAAAATAGTGTTCATCCTTTTTTTGGCAATGAGCCTTGACAGAGGCAGCACACACCTGGAGCAGCAAGTAGCCCCGCCAAGCTCCTTCCCTGAAAACTACATGCAGCAGCTTTCTGTGGGACCCTATAGGCTGCCAGGGCATCGATCTGTGTCTGTGAGCGTCTGTGCTTTTTCTCGGTTTATTGTGTCCATCCGTTAGCAAGATGTGTCTTGTTTCTTTATCATATCTTTCCTGCTTTTACTGCATGTGAGGGTTACTTTTGGTTTTATGTGTTTCAAATGGTGTATTTGGTAGGTTATTTCTAGGTCAGGAGATGCTCAAAAATTTTTCCATATAAATTAATAATTGCTTGTTCTCTTTATGCCATTTCAGCTTATAAAAGGTTTCCTAGGAACACTCTACTTTCACATAGTGGAGAAAACCTGTATCTAGAAGCTGATTAAAAAGAGAGAACCAGTTAAGTACAAATCAGTAGTTGACAGATGGTCATGAGGATGGGGAGCACGGCATAGGGAATGAAGTTAGCATTAATGTAATGGTTAGGTGGAGAGCCAGAGGAGAGAAAGAGCAATTAAGAGGATTGTTTTATAAACTATAAATGTCTAATCAATGTACTGTATACTTGAAACTAATAATAAAATAAAATTTTTTTTTAAAAAAGGGAGAACCAGGAAATGGAGAATGTATCTTTTGGTTTAGGGATTTTAGCTCTGTGGAGGAAAGAAGGGTTCTATAGAAAATAATCCCACAGGGTGATCTGATCATAAATTCCTAACTGAGTAGGTCATGGTGGTTAGTCACACCCCAGGCATATAATAACCTTTTTACTTAAAAGGCTTTTTTCTTTGCCTTAAGCAAGCCCTGTCCACTGTTTCTGTGCAGCTAGGTTAATACACCTTTGAAATGCCTGCCTTCACAATGTAAACTGGTACAGCCACTATGGAAAAATGGTATGGAAGTTCCTCAAAAAATTAAGAATAGAATTGCCGTATAACCAGCAATCCCACTTCTGGGTATCTACCCAAAATATTTGAAAACATTTATTCATAAAGATATATGTACCCCTATGTTCACTGCAGCATTATTTATGGTGGCCAAGGCATGAAAATTATCGAAGTGTCCTTCGATAGATGATTAGATGAAGAAGATGTGGTATATATATACAATGGAATATTACTTAGCCATAAGAAAAGATGAAATACTGCCATTTGCAACAAAATAGATAGATCTTGAGAATATCATGCTAAGCAAAATAAGTCAGACAGAAAAAGTCAAGAACTACATGGTTTCACTCATATGTGGTATTGAAAGCAACAAACAAACAAAAACTCATAGACACAGACAACAGTCTAATGGAAAAAGGGGTAGAGAAGGTAGATAAAGGTAAAGGGGGTCAAATATATGGTGACAAAAGGAGATTTGACTTCAGGTGGTGAATATACAATGCAATATACAAATGATGTATTAGAGAATCGTACACTTAAAACCTACATAATTTAATTAACCAATGTCATTCTGATAAATTTAATAAAATTTGAAAAAATAAAAATTAAATGCCCCCTTTCCAGTCCCTCCTTATAACACCTGGCCATCCTTTCAGACCTCTCCTCCTAAAGCCTGCAAGAGAGCACATAATCTTAACGATCCTGTAATCCCATCCCAGTCTTTCTTTCTCCAACCTTCATGTAGTCTTCCTTAAGTTCCTTCCTTAGTCTGGATGCATAAAAGAAACTGTAAACTGTTATTCTCAGAAGTATTTATTTCAGTCTGTTGAGATCTTGCTTCCAGGTATATCCTCTTTGGGGCTCAAATAAATTTTTATAAAAATTCTCTACAGGTCTGGACATTCTTAAATCAACAGCTCTATTTTGTCAAAACATCACTTTTGTAAAAAAAAAAACAACAACAAAAAAAACACTTTTACTAAGCATTTACTGTATAAAAGGCAACAGATGCTAGGGCCATTGAGGAGTGGAGAGGTATGGAAAGGAAGTCACCCAGATACATTACAAGGCAGTATGAGAGGGTGCTATAAACACAGCCCAAACGGAGGGTGAACACTAATTAGAAAGACTTACAGGAAGAAAATAGACAAGAATGCAGGAAATGGGTATGAACTGTACCTTGAAGGACAGAAAGCATTTCAATTAGTGAAGATGCAGGAAGATTTTAAAAGAGAGAAAATGATATGAGCATACAAAAGAAAAGCCTTTTATTAGTTATTAAGGAAAGTGAGAGATTTTGAGCTTATTTATAACATTTTGAAGTTAGATTAAGCTCATTTCTACTTCCCACACTCTATTAAAATAACCATTCTGTTCTATTTTCTTCAAACATCATTATCAAAAATTACCTTGTTAGTTTGTTTCTTATTCCTACTCTTAGCCAAGGTGACAATCTCAACCAACCTGCCCAGGACAGTTCCAGTTTACACCTGCTATCTGGTATAATTTTACTCTTAAAAGTATCCTGTTTTTAGCAATAAATTATAAGGACATTCTACACATAACTCACTAAGAGATTATTAGCGTAACTTTAAAAAAATAATGTTTTACTTCTACTTTTTTGTTTTTTTACTAATATGGATATTGTTTTAAATAAGCCTCAGTTCAAGTAATGACCAACACTGCTATGCTTTTTTTCTTTTCTTTCATTTCTCAGGATTTAAATTTTAAAGACTCGGCAAACACCTTTTAAAGACATCGCTTAATTTTTTTCTAAAACGTAATTTACTTTTTATTCAGTTAGTAAGAAACTCTCAGCCAGATTGCCCAACTAGCTACTATATATACTGGAAAAGCAATTCTAAACTGTCACTGTGAGATAATCAACTATAAAGTGCACAGAAGCCGGAAACTTTCCAGAGGTGCATGTAAAAAGTTAGAATTGATGACCAACTAAGCAAATGTACTTAGTAGGCAGTAAATTAAACAACTCTTTGAGGGGGCTCGGAGGCCTCCAAGTAGTCTTTCATCATATGGGAAGAATTTCTGGGTTCCCCTGGGTGGCTTCTAAATATACCATAAACAAGGTGTGGCCAGTCATACTGGAATGTGCTTACCATACAACCCAGGCATAATTCAGTATCAAGGACAGAGATAGCCACAAACCCACCTCATCCTGGCACAACCCTAACCTGTCTCCCCCAGGCACCTTTTAGATCTCCGTTCCCATCCTTGTCGCTGTCCTTGAAAGATCTTGGGTAGATCTGATACATGGGTCCCGCCTGCCACCAGTCGAGGCACTTGGGAGAAATGGCGATGATGGCTACGGTGGCCCCAATGAGCACGAGCACAGATGTCACGGTGAGCCAGAAGAGTACCTCCCGAGGCACTCGGTAGCGCGCCTGGCTGGAGAAGCGGAACAGCACCTCCTTGGGCATCCCTGCGTAGGGCTGGATGTCCTTCAAGTCAGGCTCCTCAGGGCCAAGGATACCCACAGCGCTGTGCTGTGGGCTGTCCCCTGGGCTGCTGGGATCTGGGTCCTTCTCCAGGATGTCTTCATTATGGACAAACCCATTGTTTGTCCGGCATCCTTTCAAACTCATTCCAATGGAGTCTCTCTTGCTTTTCTCCTCAGCCATGTCTTACTGTCTTATCTGTGAGGAGTGCCCTCCTGCAATAAGAAAGGTAGAAAGGTGGACTGCTGAAATGTGTGGTCATGTTAATGAGCTTTGTGTGGTTTATAAATAAACCTGACAAGACAAAGTCCAGTCAAGGAAAAAAGGGTAAAGGTAAAGGGGTTTAAAAAAAAACTCTCTTGACCCATGAGGCTGTCGTAGCTATAGTGACCATACTGAGGTGTTCAGACCTGGACTGGGGCAAAGGCACAGAGGACAGGAAATAAGAAGCAACAGGGTTCCACTGCAATTTAAGATGTTATTTGACTGAGTATACCAATGTTCAAGGCAGAACTACTTACAAGAGTCAAAACGTAGAAACGAGCCAAGTGTCCATCAACGGTTGAATGGATAAACAAAGTGTGATATAAGCACATGATATTATTTAGCCTTAAAAACAAAAGGAATTCTGACATGTACTACAACATGGTTGAATCTCGAAAACATTATGCTAAGTGAAGTAAGCTAGACGCCAAAGGATAGATATTGTATGATTAGATGTGGTACCTGAACGAATTCATAGAGACAGAATAGAAGCGTGGTTATCAAGGGTTGTGAGGAGGGGTGTAATGAGAAATTATTGTTATTTAATAAGTACAAAGTTTGCATTTGGGACAATGAAAACATTTCTGGAGGTAGATAGTGGTGATGGCAGCACAACAATGTAAATGTACTTAATGCCACTGAATTTTACATTTTAAAATGATCAAAGTGATAAATTTTATGTATCTTTTATCACAATAAAAAAAAAAGTTTAAAATTTTTCTTTTTAGCTAGGTATGAGAAAAAGAAACGAATACTAAATTTTGTAAGGAGAAACAGGCTTTTCTTAATTTTTGCTTCTTCCTACAAATCCAAGAGGAAGAGGATCTGGAGACAGCGAACACCACCACTTTGTTGCTGAAGTTAATTTTATTTCCTCTCAGTTCAAGCCAATCCTATAAAAATACTCATTTGTATGCTCGGTTCAGGCCCAGGTACCTTCAGTCTTGTATACTATTTTCAGATAAGGAAATTCTGACCATTCTTAGAAGCACTTTCTGACGGGGGCGGGGATAGGGTGAAGGGAATTATATGTGTTTCAAGTTCAAGTGCCTTACTACAGATAAACAGTTCTTAATACAAGCACTAAAGAGTTGTTTAATCATTGACAAGTATAAAATACTGAACCCTGAGGAAACTGCATTAAAGTTAGGCGTGCCGTCCTAGAAAACTCTGCAAGCCTTACTAGAATGTGAAGATTTAAGTTTTCCATTTAATCAATGACACGAACAGTCCTATGAATCATTTGATCAGATAACAAGATTTTTTTTAAATGAGGTGAGTTACATTTCTAATTTCTACCACTATTGTTTTTTTTTGTAGAGTGACTTAGAAGCAGTATTGGTACAGAGGAATTAGCTATTTGATTTTGGCTAAGTTATTTTTTTAAATGAGTAAATCCCAAAACCTGGCTCGTTGGATGCATCCATAAGTAGCATCATTATTAATTACACATATTGTGTATTTTTTAAAAATCAAAGGAACTTAACTTTTATGTCTTGAAGTTGTTTTATCTCTCAAAAATATAATAGTAATTTTCAAAACAGGATCTAACTCTTGAAATTCAGATATTATTTGAGGGGGAAAAAACGTGCAAAAATACCCATAGTTTCAAACTAAGTTTAAAATGGTACATCCATACAATGAAATATTACTCACCATAAAAAAAAATGAAATCTTACCATTTGAGACAAACTGAATAGACCTAGAGGGCATTATACTAAGTGAAATAAGTCAGACAGAGAAAGACAAATACCATATGATTTCACTTACATATGACAGCTAAAAAACAAAATAAACAAACAAAACAGAAACAAACTCATAGATACAAAGAACAAACTGATGGTTGCCAGATGGGAGGGTGGTTGAGGGGCTGGGTGAAAAAGATGAAAGGATTAAGCAGCAAAAATTGGCAGTTACAAAATAGTCATGTGGATGTAAAGGGAATATAGTCAATAATATTGTAATAACTATGTATGGTGTCATGCAGGTAATAGACTTGAGGTTATCACTTCATGTTATATAAATGTCTAACCACTATGTTGTATACCAAAAACTAATATAATATTAATGTCATCCATAATTAAATTTTTTTAAATTTTAATTTAAAAAATAAGTTTACCTTACAAAAATGTTTTAATTATAAATCCTCAAATTCTAAGTGTGCATCATATAAATGTAGATAAAACTCTACATCTTCATAATATGCCTTCATGACAGAAAGGTTCTATTTCAACTTCTCTACATTTTATTTAAAGTAACAATAATAATAATAATACTTTGAATTTCCACAACATGAAAACTAGAAGCTTTCTAAAAACAATCTGGAATAATTACCTGGCCTCTGGTGGGAGAACTTTTTTAAAAACAATAAAATTACAAAAGATTATTTGAATTGATTTGTAAAGAGAAAACCACAGGCCCAAAATGGCATCACTCATGCTAAAAGCCCTCGATACCAAACCTAGATTTAATAGCTGGTCTACCTGCAGTTTCGACCTCTCCTAAAAAGGTAACCTTTATCAACCAGCCTGGAGTTTTCTGGTCAAGCACCAGTAAAATAATCCGTTACTCAGACCCTCTCCATCCTCCATATGAAGAACAGGCAGTCTGCATGATAAAAATCCTTGCTCTCTTTTTCCCCCAAGAAAAGCTGTCCAGACCCCCCAAATAATCTTGTCTTTTGTCAGAAGCTCCCTTTGCCACCCTTCTTCCTTTAAAAACCTTCCATTTTGTATAGCCCCTTGGAGCGTCCCTTTAGTCACTAGATGGGATGCGGCTTGATTTTTTAGATCTTCGAATTTGCTCAGTTGAATTTTATTTTTTTAACAGATTAATAAAACTGTTTAATTTATTATATCATAAAGCATACTAATTGAAGAGCATATGATAAATTGGGAAATATATTGGTAATAAATATCCCAATGAATTTATGTCTTTAATGTTAAAGTTATGAATATGTTGTTAGACATATGAATATATGAAATTTCATAATATCAATTTGAAAATACAAATGTCAGTAGAATACATGAGAAAAAGAATATGGGGGGTAGATAAGGGTAAAGGGGGTCAAATATATGGTGACGGAAGGAAATTTAACCTTTGGGTAGTGAATACACGATGCAATATACATATGATGTATTATTGAATTGTATCTTGAAACCTACATAATTTTATAAACCATTGTTACACCAATAAATTAATTTAAAAAAGAAAAAGAAAAAAACAGACATTTCTCACAAATCAATTCACTAATATCAGAGAAATAAATATTTTCAATCACACTGGTTAATAATTTCTAAAATATAATAGTGCTAGCAAGGTCCAGTGTAAATTGACATAATAGCTCTAGAAAGTAATTTAGCAATGTGTATCATGGGTTAACATTTTCAGAGTAATAAATGAGGTTAGCCCTACCAGATTTTAAAATAAAAATTCCAGAAAAATAAAGAGTTGATACTAAAGAAGAGATAGGTCAAAAGGTCAATTGAACAGAGTAAAGTCACCACAAACAGATTTTCATATGGTTCACACTTTACATTGTACAGTTCTATGGGGTTTGACAAATGCAAATGTCATATATGTACCATTACAGTGTCATACGGAATAGTTTCACTGCTCTAAAAATCCCCTGCACTTCACCTATTCATCCCTTCCTCTCCCTGAACCCCTGGCAACCACTGACATTTTTACTTTAGTTTTTTGTCTTTCTTACAATGTTATATAGTTGGAATAATACAGTATTAGCCTTTTCGGACGAGCCTATTTCATTGTGCATTTAAGTTTTCTTTTCATTGCTTAATAGATCACTTATTTTTATTGCTGAATAATATTCCACTGTCTGGATGTACCGTAGTTTATCTGTTCACCTATTAAAGGGCATCTTAGTTGCTTCGAAGTTTTGGCAATTATAAACCATCACGTGCAGGTTTTTGCATGGACATAAGTGTTCAACTCATTTTAATAAATAACGAGAAGCGAAATTGCTGGACTGTGTGGTAAGACTATAATTAATATATAAGAAACTGCCAGATTCTCTCCCACAGTAGCTATATCATTTTGCATTTCCACCAGCAATGAATGAGAGTTCATGTTGCTTCACATCCTTGCCAGCATTCAGGGTTGTTAGTGTTCTGGATTTTAGCCATTCTAATAGAAGAATAGTAGTATTTCATTGCTGTTAATTCCTTTTTATTGCTCAGTATATGGATGTACTCTGTCCAACATATGGATAGACTGCTGTTTATAATTGAACATTATTTCTCCCAGTTTTTGACTATTATAAATAAAACTGCTATGAACAATCATGTACAAGTCTTTGTAAGGATACAGCTTTCTTTCTCCTGGGTAAACACCTAGGAGTGGAATGGCTGGATCATATGGTAAGAATTTGTTGAACCATTTAAAAAACTGCCAAAGTATTTTTAGAAAATGGTTGTACCATTTTATATTACCTTCAAGAGCGTGTGAGAGTTCCAGTTCTTCCACATCCTTGCCAGCACTTGCTATGTTCCATATGTTTAATTTTAGTGATTCTAGTAAGTAGGTGGAGGTATCTCTTTGAGATCTGAATCTGTACATCCCTAATGACTTATGATGTTGAGTATCTCTTTAGCCCTTATTTGCCATCCATATACATCTTTGGTGAAGCTGATGCTGGGTGGTCAGCTAGCACGGTCTCAGTTCTCCCTACAAGGACCTCTCCATGGCTACTCTGGGCTTTCTTATAGTGTTCTGGCTTTGTCCTGAATGTGAGTGTCCCCAGCGAAGAGAGAAAGCCAGGCAGACACTCCATTCTTTTTGTGATCTAGCCTGAGAAGTCACATTGCATCTTTTTGACTGTACTTTATATACCAAGCCCAGAATTCATGTGTGAAAGGACTAAGAAGTTATGGAGCAAAGGACATGGATACAGAGAGGCCATTAATTGGGCCGTTAATGCAATTCATCTCTCAGGTACCTTAACAATGTTTTCTTTTAAAACATAAAAGAAAAAAAAAAAAAAGCCCACATAAGATAGACCATCTTAATCATTTTTGAGTGTAAAGTTCAGCAGTGT